AGTAAGTCTCGTACCTAGATTCCAAAGATTCCACGGAAAACGGTTGAAATTCATCTTATGCCGGAATGTTCTTTCTTCCTCGTACGCTTCGTGTTTTCAACAACTTATTCTGATGCTGTTTCCTTTACATAGCAACAAAAACATGATCAGCCAAGCTTACGACGTCATTCCATTCTTTATGACTAAACGTTAAAACATTACGGTTATGTTACCCTTGCGGTAACTAAATATTTTGTGAGCCCACTCACGTCCCTCTTTCAGAGACAGCAGCGGAAATCATGCCCAACTCTAGAATGACGTGAAACGCACGAATCACCGAACCGAGCAACATAAAATTTTTTGTTTGTTTTTTTCTTTTATGAAAATAAAAGTGAGACGTTTAGTATCCAGCTTCTTGTGAGGGTGGATACTAATTCCCGACTATTATAAGTTATTTTAAAACTATAAAGTGATTTAATTCCGAGCACCTTAAAAATCACTTCCGTTCTGTAGTCGAGTCAAATTCATTTGGTTCAGCATGGCAATAACAAGAAATTTTAGTAACGATCGTGTGTATTGTGAGCAGAAATACGATGTTAGTCACTCTTACAGGTCAAAGAGGTAACGCACTAATTCGGTCGTTTGCAAGAATTATCCTGTCTGTTGTGTGCACTCGTTTGTTTTGGTAGGCTATAAAAACTAACGCTTCTAACGCTTCTGGTCGTTTTCCTTTAACTATATGCAGAGTTGTTTTATTCGTGCCAGACGAATATTCTTTCGCCTCGCTTGCCGATGAAATCAGACATGTGATGGACTCTCTGACTTTTGGAGGCGGCTCATGGATATTGACTTGCTAATCTGAAAATAGATAAAAAAAAAAATAAGTCAATGAGACTATCAGCAATTTAACAATAGTCGAGGGCACATGATAGCTAGAGGAAGCAAAAAGTGTCATCTAATTATGTATGATTACTGTTATTTCTGTTGGAAGCCAAAAGATTTTCCGTGGCTCGAGCATCCATCTGTGTCCGTTCGTATTCAAAGACTTCGTTCATGACGAACCCTTCTCATACATAATGGGAAACAGAGCTTTCGAAAATGCCTTTGCAGGACGTCGATCTCACAGAAATGCACCAACTGAAAAAACAAATGTAGATATCACGAAAGCGATCACAGTCAAATGAAAAATTGTCAATCCGGTCCTTCCTGCCAGCGTACTTGATTCAGATTTCAGATCTAGAAAAAGGAAAATAGTTTGTTGACAGAGCTATTTATTCTGTAAAAAACTTGATTTTGAGATAGTTTAAATTGCTGCAGGTAGTTGAAGATAAAAGAAACAGTTTTTTTTAAAATGGCTTTCCTTCCTGTCAAAGAACAGAAGTTGCTTTTATTTAGGACAGGGACCATAGCAAACCACAACCTTCATACTAAGGAGAACGCAAGAGAATAACTCAATTAAAGAAGCAAAACGTTTTAAAATGGAGCCTTCTCATCGCAACTCACTCTAAATCACCATCTTCTAATCACGAAGTTCTCCCAATCTCACGCACAGGGGACACTTGTTGCATTTTAATAAGTTTTTACAAGAAGAGAGAGTTATCAGACATGTTTATGTAGGGAATTGACCGTGGCCGTCAGACACAATGTACGTAATTAAGCCAGACTTTAGAAGTGCCTAAGACTGAAATTTAAAATTAGTTTTTATCGACGTTGCCGTAAAGGAGATTTTTTTTTTTTCGTGATTAAAGTTTGTAGAATGTTTCATCTTTATCCTTACTGGTGAACTTAATGTTTCTGTCGAAAGATTCAGAGTTTTAAATATATACAGCTAAGAAGGACAAATTGTCACCTCTGTATCATGCTAAAGCTAAGTCCGTGATTTTGTTACCTAAATCACTGACATGTAAGTTGACCTCGACTGACGTCCTTTCACCAGCTATGTTATTTGCAATGCACTGATATTTGCCCCCATCTCTCTTCTTCACTTTTTTTATAAATAGTTGGTAATGAGTAGTTTGTTCACGTCGTACACGAGTGATCTTTGCCCTTGAATTGAATTGGACAAAATATGAATTGTTGTTCTTGATCCACCTGCTGGTTGACAGGAGATGACCAGTGGTAATACAATTCAAAGTTACATCCGAACCGATGACAATGCTAAGGTTCCACCGATCTTCAACAATTTGAGGTACAGTCGGGGTGTCTGATGAATGAAAGTTGGTCGTTGGGGTGGATTGCGTCGAATGAGGATTATTGCCCCTTACACATGAGATGCTTGGCTTTGGATGACTCCTGGCGATGCAGATAAAAATTTCACCAAAACCAACAACAGCG